TATTAGGGGACTAAGAGCAAAGAGACATAGAAGATTAAGAGAAAAAGCCATTGTTTTCAAGAAGCCTAACTCAGTGAAAGTTAGATGAACGGATTTGGGGTAAAGGTACACTTCTTTTACATAAATGGGACTTCTAGGTCTCGGGTCCTTGAGTGTCCTGGGTTGAAGGATCGCAGAAGCTATCAAACCAGGAAGAATTTCAAATCCTTTTGCACCCTCTCAGTGGTCAGACAGTGGACTAGCTAACAAAGGCTTTGAAAATCCACACTGTATAGAGAACCTCTCCCTTCAGTATACTTCTTTCTACTCCCCACTTTCAGACTACTCCCCACTTTCAGAACTACTGGCACTTAAAGAGGATAAACTGAAAGCCTGAATCCTTCAAGTTTCTTATTTTGAATCCTTCAAGTCTCCTTTCTTACCTTCCATAACAATGAGTTTAGGATGAGTTTTTCAGTAGAAATGGTCCAAGTAGGATAGTAATTTCAGTAGAAATTACCCTGAGAAATGGTCCAGGGTAAGCAAACATAGGGTTTTGTTGTATCACATCTGGGTCTTAAATAATGTGCCCTCTCCCAAAGAAATCCACTGCTGGTGTCACCCAAACAAGGAAAAAAAAAAAAACCCCGCTGAATAATCTCATATTGAAACAGGATTAAGATCAATGTGTTTCAGGCTCAAGGGCTGTCATATAACAGTTAATCCTATTTCCCCAGCCATCTATTTGCAATGTATTTATAAAAAGTTGATTTTATCAGTTAATTAGCCAGTCCTTAGGAAATTACTATTACTTCCTCTACTTGCTCCATTCTTTTTTTTTTGAAACACTAATATAAAAAGAACACTTGAGGGAAGCACAAGTTCATTGGATTTTAGAACAATTCCCTAAATTATATTTGGTATAGAGGTCATGGCTTTAAAATAAGATTTTATCATGATTTAGTTCCAGCATAAAAGTATTCCAGTTATTCAAGATTCTGACAAGCAGGCTTTCATAATATCACTATTTAAATGAATGACATTAAAAAAAATCAGAAATGAAATCTACCCTGAAAAAAATGAGTCAATTTATAGTATTTCTATACTCTAAAATCTAGTAATACCCTCAGGAACTCAAGCAATCACTTAAACATTTTTTTTTTAAATGTAAACTCCCAATCTCTCCAAATCTGAGCATTTGCAGTTCCCATCTGATCCATGGCTTTGCTTCGAAGTTCATTCTGTGAAAATGCATAGTCAAGATAGTACACATCTACCTATTGATCTGCACTCTCTGGTTTGTTTGCTCTGTGAGGAAATACATGGATTTAACTCCACACACATTTATATGACTATAGCCACACAGTCCAAGCTTATTTATAACAGACAGGATTTTTATGTATGTTTGTTTGTATGTGTCTATTAGTTTTATCTGTACACACATTTAAGATGTCTTGTAGAAACCATGCCAGATTTACAATTTCTCTCTTCCAAATCGTAGCTGGAGAAACAATGCACCAAAGATATTTAACAACTTTTTCAGGATCACATAATAAAGATAAGTGAGGTGTTGGCCTGGATGGTTCAAGGTCTCCCTGAGGCTTTCCTGAACACTATGTCTATGTCTATGAAATGATGGGGCAGGGGGAGGGGCCCTGGAGCACACCTGGACAAGGTTACACATGTTCCCCTGGCGGTGCAAGTTGGTGAGAATTTCTTTAACGATGGTATTTTGGGATCATTTTCTCATTTCACCCAACCCTTCCTATTTGCCCCAAAGCCTCTAGTCAACCTCACTAGCACTCTGGATATTCGACCACCTTCTCTGTAAAATAAAGGTTGGGTAAGACTCTATAGAAATTTCCAGCTTAAACAATCTGGGATCTTCAGGGTTACTCCTCAGGACCAAATGCTAATTGATCGCACTGGCACAACTCCTATGGCCTGTGGGTTGTACTTTCTACTGCCTTTAAGAATTTCCAGGTGGAGGGCCTCCTGGATGACACAAAGGGTTAAGCTGCAGCATTACGAAACTATGATCCCCTGGCCAGGGAGGTGACCCACATGGAACAGCAGACTTCTCCTGTCTCCCCGCCGCTCCCCTCAGCAGTGTATTTCAGTCAATCGGCCTGTCCTGCTCCCACTCTGTCTCTGGTAAATCTTCTCACTCTCTGCACCTCTGGCCTGTACCCTAATTCTTGTATGCATGAGTAAATAAATCTTAAAAAAAAAAATTTCCAGGCAGAGGAGGTGGTTTACTAATGTCTGTAATTTGTGAGGTGAGGTAAATCTGTACAGCTAGAAGTAAGCAGGGCATTTCTACTAAACTTACAAGAATGATGCTTTCATTAATTCAAATCACACTTAAGATGGATGCCTATGGACAGGAATGTGAATCTGCAAAACTCACAAAATACAATCACTTTTAGAAGTTGAGGTTATAGCATTTACTAAAAAAGTAAGCCACAATCTTCAAAGTGGAAATTCTAGAATAAAAACGATTACCCACATTACTTATTATTTCTTTTTCTCTCTTATAAGCATGCACAAAGATATACTCATATGTACAAGAGATAGAAAATTAACCACATCATTACTAGGAAAAGGGGACTACTATCAGGTGCATACCACAGAAGAATGTTAAGTACATTTCTACTGTTGTAGGGAAATGGTTTACTTTACTGGGCAAGTGTAGTTTTATAATTCATTGATTGGGTGATTCAAACCAACATGTAAGGTTCCATTCAAAGTCCTCCAGGAGCAGAGTTTCTCTCTTCCCCTGGAATAGTCATGCGCTCTTCTAGAAGGTGACTTTAAAAAAAGGTGACTGGAGAAGAGTCGTTCATAACAAAAGAACCTGCCCCATTCTGGGTTCTGCCAGCTTAGGGTGGCTACCCTGTCGTTCTCAACTAGAGTCAAGTCAGCCACAAAACTACAAGATTGATTGGTTCAAGGAAATACCGCTCATGTTTGTGGTCTTACCTAACCTCTAAGGCAAGGTGATCTATTTGAATCTATCCTTCTTGAAGCTCCATTTCCAGGAAAAAGAGTCAGAGAGGGCAAGAGAATTATTAAAAGACTTCACCAGGCTATGCAACCAAGCATTTTATCCTTAAAAGACAGAAAGCTCAACTGTAAGAACCTAAGCAAAAGGCAAATAAAGTAAAAAACACATTACACTTGGTAAGCAGAAACATCTCCCAGAGCACCTCCATTTTAGGTATGGCATTTTAATTAAAGAACTTAGCACATTCTATTCGCTAAGCAAGAATTATTTCTAAGGAGCCAAAACACATCACATTTATTGACTCCTTCACTTTAGCCTAGTCCTGCAGATACATTTCTCTCCAAATACAAATCCTGTTTGCTGACATCTTTCTCTACAGTACATACCTTTGCTTTAGTACATGAAATCAATTTGAATGCAGTCATCTCATCTCCCTTTTAACTCTTTTGGGTTACAGAGAAACAAACAAAGTGTCATAAAAGCATTTCAAAGAACCTCAGCCAAGAAAGCCACCTCCCAAGCAGACTGCAGTTTATGCTGCTTTGAGCAAGAACTGGAAAGGCTAGGCCAAATTGTCAACACAGAACAAAGTGGGATTACAAATCCTGTCTTTTATCTTGCAAACACAGACACAGGCACACACACACACACACACACACACACACACACACGCGCGCGCGCGCGCGCGCACACACACACACACACACACTCACACACACACTCACTCACTCAATTTGGGTTATCTTTATTTAGCCTTTAGGTGGCAAGTTTCCCAATCACTTGAAAGCAATCAAAGGGGAATAATTAACGCACATTTACTTTCCTATAGAAAACATCTACAGCAAGCTGTGACAAAGCTAAAGTAGCCATGCATCTGTGGATTACAGTTTAGTTCCTTTTAAAGTTTCATGGCATTGCGCCGTGGGGATGAGGCCTATCATTAAAGAATATTTAGTTGGTACCTCTGTTCTTTCATTTAATGATTTAGATTACCTGGTTTTTACTTAGTCCCAGAGATCCTCTTATCCACTGGTCTTTTTACACACACACACACACACACACACACACACACACATACACACATACAAAACAAAGCTGGTAAGAATTTGTTGGTGCAAAATGAGAAATTGAATCTTTGCTTGGCTCAGGTGCTTGCTATTATAAACTATGACTAAGAGACATGAATTTCTCTATGATGCAACCCTCAAGAGAGGCAGCATTTTCTCCAGCCTCTCTTAAACCTGCTCATTCGCCAGTGACTAATGCTCTCTAGAGCTGCCCTGTACTGCTCAAATTTCATCAGCCAGCTTTGTCCTTGATAGCTCTGCCTGGACCATAAAAGCTCCCAAACCTGTTGAGGACAGCCCAAAAGATCTGAGCAAAGCTCCCCAAGCGCCTGCCAGCACCAAGAGGTATCTCCTGAGCTCCCACTTGCATTTGTTATCTCAACGATATGAGCACTTAATCACATGAAAACAGAGAGTAAGTCAGGTCACTCTTTGACACCCCTTGTCAGCTTACAAGTAAAAACAAAATGGACAAGTCAGGTGAAACCAAAATTAACAGGAATCTTCCATTACCTATTTCCTGCACCTTTAAAAGAAAAAAAATTGAGGTTCACACTTCACATCAAGGACTTAATTTACAAAACAAAAAACATTATAAGGTGATGTCTGATTCACGGATGTTTGGCCCAACAGTTTTTGGGTATGATATTAATTTAAAATTTTGAACTTGAAGTCCTGTGATATTCCTAGGCAAAAAGAAATTCCAGAAAAAATTACGTTCAGTAATTCTTACACGTAATACAATAGCACTTGAAGAGATGATTGCAATTAGGAATGAAAAAAGTCTTCATTATAATAAAATTCAAAAACTTCTGAATTATTCAAAGAAACAACATGCATTCCATGGCCTAGAGATGCTGGCTACTGCTGAAAATAGTATTTAGACATAGATGATACAAGACCAAACAATTTCAGAACAAATGTGACACTACCAGAAAGGTACTTACAGTTATCAGACTGAAAATCTGGGACAAACTGTTCATCATCAGGAACTTGTGCTGGAAAAGAGATTTTTTTTTTTCATTTTATTTTAGGCCTTTAAGTTTTATTAAAAAGCACAGTAAAATGTTTTATATGGAAAATAGGACAGCCAAGAAACTTGCCTTCAGCTAACCAAGCCTCTTGAAGTTGACTGAGATCCTGAAACAACTCTGGAATTGAAAACAGAAGACACCAGAATGAGAATGTCTTTGCCATGGAGAAGCATCTGCATGCATGCTCTTTCACTGGAAGCCATTTGAGGAAGCCAGGACACAGAGAGGAAAGCGTCACTACCTTCGGAATCATGAGCCAGATCTGTGTCTAAAAACTTCCTCTTTCTGTCAATCACAGGCCGCCCTCTACATTCCTCTGATCGAGATTTCTGAAAGAGACCAATAGATAGAGAAGACTCAAATGTAGCTAAGGGTTTAAAAGAGGTCCTTGCCACTAACCCAGTAAGGAAAAGGCGCATTATTTAAAGGAGGGTTAAGAAAAGCAACCCAGAAATCACATAAACTTACCCCTGGAACCATAAAAGGGACTTGCTGATCATAAAACCCATCCATGGTGCTTCCAACGTCTCTAATGTCACTTTGAAAGGTTTCAGCATTGAGTAATTTCTGGGGGGATGTGGGATCCTCCTGCAATAGGAATTGGGAGATTTCAACTTAAGTGTTTAGAAATGAAGTAGTTGTGTATAACTAAAAAAAGTTGTGTACTGCTCTTTTTCAGGGTCTGTGCAAAATCACTATCTTTCTCTGAGGTACTTAATGCCCACTCAAGGTGTAAACTTTACAGAGTAACTCTGGACTTGATGAAGGACAGCAAGGTTCATTACGGACTTAATGCCAAATCCCCTGACCTAGTCATCCTTTTCCTTCTCCTCCTCTCTTTCTTCTTCTTTTTTAATCATTAAGGTTACAGGTTGCTACTATCTGTCACCTAAAAATATATATTATTTTCATTTATAAAAGGGTGATTTCAAGATTTCTGGTGTTATACTTTTTTAAAAAGAGGTAATTTAAAAAAAAAAAACAGTACAGTGACAGGAAAAAGAAAAAGTAGGTTTAAGCATTCCAAATTGTTGCCAACTAAGATTCTAACATACACAGTGCTCCTGATAGTGTTCTGTAGGTCAGTGGTAAGACATATATATAGACCCAGGAATATATTGATCAGAAGTGTACTCATCACACAACTCTTTAAAACCTAACCTTCTATGGCATCTCTAACATCACAAAAAGCTCCATGGTAACATTCACAGATATCTATGCTATCTCCAACCTGTAAAAAATAAAATTTAAGTTCTAAAAAGAAATGGACAAACTACATTTAGCAGAAAATATATTCTACTGCACATACTTTAAATGCATCTCTACCACAGAGCTTAAACAAGCATTAGATCCATGGAAAGAAAATTCAGTTTGATTCTCAGAGTAAAGTTAATTTTTCTCCAACACACTAAAAAATAAACTTGTTTCAACACTGTCCAGTGTGGGGGTTGGGAGGAGAGGTTGGGGGTCAAATTGGAAAGGAGTGAATTTTTCTAATTTGGGAAGAATAAAGTAACAATTTTAGCGAGGCAACATCTTCCTGAACACTTTTTTTTTATTCTTCAAATAAAACCACAGTTAAGTCAACAAAATGGGAACCTAATTCTAAACAATGCAAAATGTTTAAGGATAATTTTTGTTTGTTTCAAAGTGCATAGACTTTTTCAACAGGTACCTTTTTAGCGAGAAATTCCATTCAAATTGTTTTTCAGACTGTGGGGGGGGTATTAAATTTTCTAGGCGAGCAGGATATAAGGTAATCTTTTAGCCTTCTCTCAGCGTTCTCACCCACGTAATTAGATATTTTCAGTCAAAAAGAAGAGCAAAACGATACATAGTTCATAACTTCCTAGGAAAAAAACTAGTCTTCGAAACAGAGCTAAAGCGTGCAGAACAAAGTCTCTTTTTCAAATATTAACAAATTGTATACAAACTCAGAAACATAAGCAGTGAGTGGAGGGGCATGAAAACTCTATAGCCTTTAAAATTCTGTCATTAAATCATGGCCTTAGAAATTCTGTAAAAGTCTATGGGGGAAAGGGACCCAAGGGTAGGAGATCGGAGAGGGAGTTATTTTTAGAGTCTCACAACTAGATACACTGCAAAAATGCTGCACCAATAAGAGCAAAAATATCGTTTAAAATATGAAGTAAAAGCTGCCACAAGAGAATCCAAAAGGACCATCAAGGATCTTTCAAGCAGCCCTCAGTGTTCAAGGGCGTGAAAAATTCTGTTCAAAGCATAATTTTTTTAAGCCTGAAGGGAAGGTTCGAGTTCATTCAGGAGTTTAAACTACTTCCTTTATTCCGGCCCCCCCACCCCCCTCGCCTCCCTTCCCAGTGCCCCCTGGAAAACTTTAACACGGCGCTGCAGCGGGATCGAGGCCCCTCCCCCGAGGCGCGCAGCGGGCCTGGTTTTATGAATGGGAGAGCAAGCCGTGGCCGCCACATCAGGTAGAGGCTGTAACTGGATCCCTCGCGCTGGGCCCCATTCACAAAACAAGACACACTTCCAACCCAATTCCCAGCCTTCCCCATTCATGAAAACTCCGTCAGATGAGCCCCCGCCCCCGCTCCGAACGCACGCCCAGCCTCCGACGCAGGCCCCTCACCCCAGCGTTTTAGGAAGAAAGCTCAATGCTTCATTCACAAAAAGGGAAAGGGAAAAAAAAAGCTGCAGGGAGCGGCAAGCCAAGGAAAGAAACCCGCTTCATTCATAAAGTCACCCACATTCATAAAACGAGCTAAGGCGCCGTGTGCTATCAAACGCCCCCAATTTCTCCTCCCCTCATCCCTACCCCAGCCGACCAAGACTGTCTCCACGGTGCTCCCCCGACCCCCCCACCCCGGCCGCGAGTTCGGTTCCCCCAGAGGTCTCTTCCCCTCTGAAAATGCGGTCAGATCTCTAATCCAGAGCTAGACTCCAATGTCTCTCCATCCCTCCCTCCCTCCTCTCCAGTTGCCTCCCCCCTTTCCAGGCCGCTGTTCAGATGCTCTCCGATGCAGCCTGACGCCTCAGTCGGCTGGGGGTGGGAGTGGGGGATTGAGTGTCCACTTTCCATAACCCGAAACTTGCAAGGCCCGCATAAGTTGCTGGCCGACCCCCAACCCTACAGGCTGCACATGCCTATGTCACTTAACCCCTCCAGGTGCTGGGAGAGGATCACCTCTCAAATATTCCCCCTCTAGCTGCTTCCCGCCCCCTCCTCCCCACAGTAAAGCATTGCCAAGCTTCTCTTCTCGCGAGTCTCCAAGTACCCTTGGGGCTCGCGGGTCTCTAGAGACTGTAAAGCCCCGCAACTCCGCACCGCCTCCCCATCTCCACCCGGAGCCCCCGCACCTCGCGCTCCCACGCGCCGCCCGCGACGTGCGGAAACCCGCTCTTTGCGCGCTCCGGAACCGTTAGCCGCCCCCGCCCGACACCTCCCAGAAACCGAACCGAACCGGGCCCGCGGGAGGTGAGACGGTCAGTCCCCCGGGGCTCAGCCCAGATACAAAGTGCACCACGACTTTGAGGGTTCCGAAGCTTTCTTGAACTCTCGCCGGTTGGGCCCTTCGGATCGGTTCCTGGACGTCCCCTCCGAGACCCCTCTGCCCCCTCGACGCCCCCTCACCTGAGGCTGCCGCTCTTTTTCCCTTGCAGCGGCCCCGGGGCGCAAGCGCGCTCACGCACGCGCGCACCGGGCCTGGGCGCTTAGGCGAATGACTGGGCCGAACCGCTTCTGGAGACGCTGAACCGCCGCTCCGCGCACCAGCGGCTGGACTCTGTGCCGAAGCTGCCAACCAGGCTAGAGCGCTGGCCCGGCCCCCCGCGGCCTGCTGCTCCGCCTGCTGCCATTGGCCCGCGGTCCTAGCCCAGCCACGTTCCCATTGGCCCGAACCGGCTCCCGCGACTGTCTATCACCTCTTGTTTACCCTCTCTGAAGGCAAATCCAGCTAAGCCGCCCCATCAACTCTAGCCTCCATTGGACAACCGCTAGTCTCTCCCCACCCTCTTAGGGGCCTGTTTTACATAATTTATGCACCGGGGGCCATTGGCCAATCAGCACAGGCTTGTTTATATAATGAATGTAAGGACGTTTTTCATTCATAAAAAACGCGACCTGAGGGGGAAGCTTAGCTGAGTCAGTGAAGCACTTAAAGGCGCCGAGGCCGCGAGAAGTCACCGTTACTGCTCTTCCCTCAGCTTTTCTAACTTTACACCCAAGCATAGCTCTCTCCCCTTCCCTATTCACCCCCTCACTTTCTTCCCCCAACCCCCAAACGCCACCGCTAGGATTGGTCCGCTGGGCGCCAGACGTTCGCAGCTGCAGCACCAAGCAAAGTTATCATTTTAGAATTCAGGCGAGAGGAATTCGTCATTCCACCAAGAGAGAAACTCGCTCACTGACCTGGGCGTACGGCCCACAGAAACACAGAAAGCGGAAACGAGTCCTCTAATCTTAGTTACCTTTAAGAGAGGCCTTAATTTCCTTTAGCCAGGTTTCCAATGGGTAAGAATAAGCAGTATCTCTCTAAAATCTGAGTTCTCAAATAGATCTTAGTTACAGATTTTATATTAGCAAGGCCTAGGGCCCAGTCAAATCCCGATTTCTTCCCATGTTTAATTGCAGTTTATAACCTCCACTTGAGTGGGTTCTGGATGAAAAGAGACGGTGGGCGCTCAGAGAAATCTTCTCGGGGGCCGCACCGACCAGTCAGTCGACCTAGAAACATAAATTCCTCTGAAGCGGGCTGACAGAGTTAGATCGCCTTCCTCCCTCCCTCCCCGGGAGGCTTGTTTTCCATTTAAGTGTTGAATGCAAGATGGTGTATTTGCGAATTAGATCCCGTGCAGCTGGGAACGGCGAGAAGCTGCTACTCAGCTTGCCAAACGATCGGGCACTAACTGCAATTGCTGAGATTCTTAACAGGGTGTTCCAGGAAACAAATAAATAAGCAATCTTCTCCCCGCCCCCGTCCCTCTCCCCACGCCTGTGAAGGCCGAGAAGCGACTCTGCTCTCCCCTGGACTCTGTAGGCTTACTAGGGAGCTGCTCTGTTCTGCTCTGGAGTTGTTCAGTGGTGTGCCGGACCGGTCATCGCATACGCATCAATGGGGAGGAAAGACACCAAATATTAGGAGAAAGCCCCATAAGGGTACCCCACTCTCCACCTTATGAAATGCAATAATTTCTATTTTTGGATAGAAATTATTTTTGCCCACCTACTTTTCTGCTTTCACTTTTATGTTGAACAGAGCAGGATCTTGGTCTGTCTTTTATAGTCCCAGAAATGGTGGAATTTTCCTGAGGAACTTGAAGTACGCTGGTTAAGTCCTCGGCCCAGAATTGAGCTCGACTTGAGCTCTTAACTTTGTGCAGGGGTGAGACTGGCATGAATTGATAGCTGGGAGAGGTGGCTTGAACTTTTAACCAGCAATTCATTATATTTAATTTACTAGTTGAGCATTTTACTTTGACCCCAGATCCAGTAAAGTTTTCTGTTGGTGCCTTCTTCATTCCCTAGTTAGTGCCATTTCTGATTGGTGACTGGAGGTTTTACTTTATTTCAGTCGCGCTCCCAGTGGGTTGCTGACATTCCAGAGGGCTTTATCTTCCCAGCTGAACTTAGGACCTAGGCTAGCATCTTGATCTTGCTCCTCCTGGGCTTGTCTGTTCCCGCTCCACCTCATCTCATCTCATCCTGCTCTCTGATCTAGTTACTCCAGGAGAGCTTTCCTTCTCCTTGTTGCTTGAGTAAATCCCATGTTCTTATCATATAAGCTGCTGCCCTTCAATCATGCTTTATAACTTTGGTTATAGGAAAAGAGGGCATGTCACAGCACCTGCTTTCATTTTGTGACTCAAGCTAACACTCTCCTTCCCACCTTAGAAAGAGAAGTGGCATTAAATAGTAATAAATAGTGACTAAGTTTGTGCAGAATAGGGAGGTGGGGTTTCCTAAGGTTGTGATATGCTGTCAAGTGTAGAACTTTATACCAGAATAAAGCTAGAACTAACTAAATATTTAGTCATTTAAAAAATATTTGTTTTCTAATAAATACTCAGTCTGACCCTGTGCAAGCAAACAAGTACTGCAGCTCTGTAGGTTATATTATTTAATCCTTGAGATTAACCCTCCACATTAATATTTAAGTGGTAATAACTACTAATATCTGCATTGTGAGGATAAGAAGCTGATGCACAGAAAGATTAAATATATTACCAGTGGTCACAGAGCTGACCTTGCATAAAAACAAAGTCAGGTCCATTCTGGAGCCCATATGTGGTGGGCCTCCTATATGCCCCTGTAGTTCAGTAGATTACCAGAAAGTATCATCTGAACCTGAAATGATCAAGGACAGAAGTGGTTAGCATCACAGAGAGGCACTGATATATTGAGTATACTGAGTATATTGTTAAGAAGCACTTTGGGATGAAGTCGCCCAAAGCAGGAACTCTGCAACAGGTAGTGAGTTTCCTGTCGCAGGAAGCATTCACACAGAAAGATGGAAGAGAAGTGCAGAAGAGCTGCACAGGTAAGCTCTGAGGATTATTTCAGCCCAAGAGTCCATGATTCTGAGAATTTGGAGTTAATGTTGGAGAGGTAGTTAGGTCCTCAACTGCCCCTTGCCTCTACTGTGATATGTGCTGGTGTAACTCAGGCTGACCCACAGCACCAGATGGGTCTAAAGTTGGTTCCTTATGGCTAAATATTTGTGGTTTCCTCACTCCACATCTCTCCCTTCTGTTGGCAGCTGCTGCTTCTTCTTCTTCTTAGTGACTTACCTCTCCCATTGCCCACTCCCCATCTTCTCTTGTTATCTTTGTCTTTGTGCGAGTTAAGGGTCAGTATTTGGAAGTTCTTTATCTAGTACATTGAGTCTTTCCCTCTAGAAACATTCCTTACATTTGTCTAACACGTGTGCTAAGCTCTCTTCCAGGTGAAAGACCAGATTGGAAAAGATAACAAGGAGAGACCAGCCCTCTGAAACATTTGTATAGTGCTGATCCAGCCTTTGTCTTCTAGCAAAACTTACTTAATCACAATAGGATAAGTAGTCCTCAATTTGCAGTGTATCTTTAGGGAAGCAACACAGAAGGATAGGAAAGTAAGTTCCTTGCCTCAAACTGGACAGCTTCTGTTTCCCTTTGAGGGCTATTCTTAAAGTGTTCTCCTCAGATTCCCGAAGCAAGTTAAGGTGGATGGCAAGCGCCCCTTTCAAGAACTGATCACAAATTGACAGTGGAAAATGTGGCTGCCTGGTGATCCTCATCCCTGGCTCTTGGCAACACCTCTTCTCCCTCTCTTAGAAATGCTGAGGCAAGGATCACCCTGTGAGGAGACTGGATTGCGGGCTCTTAGCCCTCAGGGGGTTCTTTCCCATTCTGTATAGGACGGAGGAAGGGACAGTGTTGGAAAGCTGCATTGCTGTTTTTCTTTTCAAGAAGAGAGAGTTCTATCAGGCTGACACACTTTCCTTTCTAAAATTCAATCTTAATCCCTTCAAAACTGTGGGAAACAAAAGGGAATCTTTTCGTTTCAATGGCTCTTTAAACAAATAGGTACCATATTGCCTTCAAGGTCCTTTTTAGACAGGAAACAATAATAGCTGTCATGTACGGAGTACATTCTATGAGCCATGACACTTCCCCAAACATTTCCTAGGTCTTTGCACATTTAGTCCCAATGACAGCCTCTGAGGGAGGTGCTATTATTACCATTTCACTTTTCAAGATGAGGATGTTTAGGTACAGAAGGTACAGAAATCACTTCGGATCATGTAGCTGGCACACAGTCAGAGAGAGTGTGTACCCCGCAGATCACGCCAGTGCCTGCCCATTACCCACTCTGCTGGTGTCCCTCAGCCCCAGGGACAGTGTGTGCTTAATGAAGTCAAAAGTCTGCACTGAAAGAGCACTTTACTGCTCCAGGCTGTTCAGAGGTTTGATATTAACCCATTTGATTCTCTTAACATTGGAATGTTACCATTATTATTTCTATTTTTCTAGATGAGGTGACAGAGGTACAGAGACTCTAGGTAACTGGCCCAAGATCACATTAACTAGAAAGAGTTGGAGTTAAGGGCCAGTGCTGATCTGGAACAGGCTCTAGGCTTGGAAACTCCACTGTGCATTTTTAGTTCCTATTCATGTCCTTCATCTTGCCTTTGGGGCTCTGGCTGCTTACACATCAAGCCCAAGGAAAGCTGCTGTACTTTCTTGGGACCTTATTCTAGCAGCTCCAGCCAGACTTCTGAATTATTATTCTAGGCCAGCAAGAATTCATCTTCATTAAAGTAACTTTAGAAAGCGAATGGAAATTGCATATGCTACACTTCCCCTCCATGCCAGGCTCTGTGTCCAATACTTCCTATATTTCGTTTTACTTAATGTTCTCAACCCTTCTGTTTCAAAGGTAGAAACAATACCAATTCTGCAGGTGGGAAAACTGAGGGTCAAAGTGAGAGGTTAAGGAACATGTTAGGAAGGAGCAAGGCAGGTTTTCACTCAAGCCATGTCCTTGACCCTCTGAGCTAGACGAGTGGGGCTTATTCCTCCTAGCTCATTTCCTGGGCTTGTGGACAGCCCTCTCTCGGTTCCTTCTAACTCTCAATGCTCAGAATCTTCCAATATTCCATTGTTAAGAAAACCTGGGACTGCTCCATATTTTGATTCCTTATAGCTGAGGACTTACCCCCCAAATCTTTAGAAAATACAGTGCAAACCTTTAGGAACCTCCTCTGGCTTACTGTTGCCTCAGCAAGGAGCC